GTGTCGGGTACTGCGGCAGTCATAACAACCCAGAAATCTACCACAGAAACATGCAACTTAATAAAAGTCACTTATGAAGCTTTTAAGCAGTGGCATTTTCGGTCCACATTTTCCTGGTAAGCCTCTGCCCTCTCCACACACCTGCCGCTGCCTTCAGAGGGAGGGTAGACGTTTCCTTACCAGGGCTGCTAAAACAAAGCCTCTTTAGTTCTTTTCTCTGTCACGGTTTTCTTCTTTTAGTCACTGTTAGCTCTTAGGCTCTTGAACAAAGTTGTGTCTTTGACCTTTTAAAGATGCTGCTGTAGGCTACATGAAAACCCTCACAGAACTCAGGGGAAACGACCTCAGTGCAAGTTTGTTTGCGGCAGTGCTCTCCCCATCCTGAGCCTCTTTATGCTCTAAAAAGCATTCTCAGCATGTTCCCTGCTAAAGGACCTGGCGAAATGGATCTAGTAGCTTAAAGTAAGACTTTTACCCTTTGATCATTACGGCACCTGACGGGTTGTATGTCTCTGTGGGGCACCTGACGTGGATGCGCAGGGCCCAGAGCACAATCCAGATTTCAGGACGTTCTTGCAGCCTGGCCAGTTTCCCATTTCTTTACTTTCAGGAGAAATCCCAATATCCTTATAATCTCTTTTTTTAACTTAAACCTGTTCAAGCTGAGTTTCTGCCACTTGCAGTTGGAAGCATTCTAACTAACCTACCTTTAAATTATTCTCTCCTTTGTTCTGCCATTATTTATCTAAAATGCAAAGAAGACCACGTTGCTGCTGCCCATTTAAAACCCGTTAGGTCGATGCCTGTGTTCAAAGTTGGGGATCGGCCCTGCCTACCTCTGACAGGGCCTCCTTCCGCCCTGTAAGTGTACAGGAACCAAATGCAGCTGCCCTGCTCGGGTTTCGGCCCCGTGCTCTGCTCCGCGGCCTGGTCCATGCCCATTTCTGTGTCTTGCTTTATCCTGTGTGTTTGTTGTCTCTTGCCTTTCAGTAGGAGAAATCCTCCATTTGTTCCTGTAACAAACAGTATTTAATTCGTGTCACTTGGCACCCAGCTGTTGGCTCTGCGGTAGCAGAAAGACCTGTGTGGCCTTCATCTAGCTTGGAAGACAGGTGTTGAGGACACATGGGCAAGTGAGCTCAGCTGTGAGTGGGTGAGGAGCAGGGGGATGATGTGAAGGCTGCCGCAGAAGGCTGAGCAAGGATGAGAGGGCCTGGCCCTGGTGCTGGCGGGGTGACTGTTCAGGAGGCGGAGGCACTGGGGTAACTGACTGGAGGTGGGGAGAGAACCGGAGAATCAGATTCAGGCTGGGGTTTCTGGCTTGTGCAGGTGGGCAGATATGAACGCCAATCTCTGGGACAGAGGACACTGTGGAGACACAGTGAAGGAAGATGTGCTCAGGTGGGTGCAGAGCCGGCAGCTGGCTTCCTGCTCCAGAGCTGGGAGGACACCTGTCAGTCCCATGCTGCAGAGTTTATTTTTATGGAGTATAAAGTGAACAGTGCAGTAATGTAAGACACAGGTATATTTTTGCAAACAAATGCAAATTTAAAGTAAAGCTGAAATTGACCTCAAAAAAAAAAATATATATAGGCCTTGCTCTCCCGCCGTGCTTCCGCAGTAGCTAACCCCCCCTGGGCGTTCCCAGCAGCTGGTACGGATGGACCCTCAACACGCTAAATGCTCCGTCAGAATCAGTTTAATGAAGGAATTTAAATATCCAGAGAAATTTGTCAACCCATGTTTGAAAGGAAAGACTATGGCAGGAGGCCAGCTTATTTTAAAATTTACTTGGATTTTCATGCAAATGATTAATTTGTATTTAAGACAAAAGGGACTATTATATAAATTTATTCAACCTAGTGTCGGAGTTCAGAAAAATGCAAACGTGTAAATGGGCTCATTAGGCTAGACAGCATCATTTATTTTTAAGTGAAAATTTGAGCTACAATTAGAGATAAATTGACTTCTACTATGGTGTCATTTACCAAAGCTACAGTGGTTTAAGAGATACTATTAATTACTGCAAATAATCATAACTTTCTTAAAAACACTTTCATAAAGAGGTTGGACAAGCAAGTTGGTGAACTCATTCTAGAACAAGTTCTGCGTCCCTCATTGCCAAACATAACTAAGGTCACCTCCGAAGTCTTCCCCTTGGGAAGTCACACCCCCATGCCAGCCCCTCGTCCCCTTCAAAGCACTTTTGGAACTCTCTTTCTGGAATGGCCATATGAGCTGAGCTGTCATCATTCATGTTAGAGAAATAAATTTATAAATTCATCCTAGAAAAAGTGCTTTCAACGGGAGACTAGCCCCTGGGGTTGGTGCACAGCTTCCCGGAGGGAGTAGTTTGAAGGAGACCACAGCAGCCTTTAGCACTGAGGCATGTGGCACTTCCTCCAGGATGAGTTCGCAGACTTAATTGTCTGGCCTTGTGCACTTCTGACAGGAACCACAGATATTTAAGAGCACTGACAGTTCAGACTAGAAGCAAATAATGGTGTTTTCTACTTGGAAAAAAACAAAGGAAGAAAAAGAGAAGGAGGAAAGAAAATAGTATTAAAAAAAAGAAAACTCGGTTCAGGAACTGGTCTATGTGGGAATCAGTCAATCATTTTTGACAGGTGGCTACATCTCCCTCCGTAGTAGTCGCTGTTATAGGGATTCTCATAACCAGCAAGCTTTCAACTATGCATCTCTAGTATTCTTAAGAAAAAATTCAGAAAATGATGGTCAGGTTCAGTTAATTAAAAAGAGGTAGCTTTATAGCTATGCGTAAACTTTTTCCAATACTGAAACCAAATAACTTGCAAAAGAAAAAAAAAAGGTATGAGTATAAAAATTGTGCAATTCTGTTCTAGAATATTGCCAATGTTAGCAAGTTTCAGCTTTATTTATAGAGAGGAAGGGAGGCAGCGAGTAACAGAGAAAGTGAGAGAATTGGAATAAGGGAGAATGAAAGATAAAAGAAACAATATGATGAGAAAACAAGCTTGTC